TTTTATCTACCAGGCAACTTGTAACGAAGAGAGATGAGCGATTACTGAACTGGTGAACTTTCAGCAGCAAAATACCAAGCTTTTAGGTGAAGGTGATAAATTAGTCTACCAGGAGCTGGATCTATTTCTTTGTGCATTTGAAGCAGCAAGAGGAGAGCTTCAACCCCACCTCACTGCACGTTCAGCACCATCTCAAACATGGAGGGAAACAAGTGCTTTGTAAAACACAAGCCTGTCAAGTTTCAAAGATCTTGTGCTCAGATGACTGCGGCAGCCTGCTGCTGTAAACATCCGACTGAAAGCTCCTTCCAACACCTCACAGCTTCCAGTCAAGGATGTTTACAGTAGCAACGACTGCCCCAAAGGATGCAGGAGACGGTACTTCTAAGCAGAAAAGCCTGTTTCTCCCTTTACAAGTCAAAGGGATGCAGAATGATCACACTTTTTAAAGTTAAATTTTTAACACTGACAACATTTGGTATCAGAGCTACTTAGTAGTTTTTGTCACTTAGGTAAATGCCCAAGTCAGACTTCTGTAAATCTCCACTCAAGCTCTATTTCCATAAAAAAAAATATTTAAGAACCTGAAAACTACTGTAGATAAACACGTAAAAGAAAGGGGCACAAACCTCATGTTTCAATCTGATTCTACACTGCTTTATCAACTCTCTTTTAATTAGAGACTGAAATCACACCAAGGAAAGGACAGACAATAAGCAATCATTTTTATGTCTCACCTGCCGCTTTGGAGGCTTCAGTTCATCTCTTGGAACAATATCGATAAGAAAGTCGAACTGATCAAACTTTGTAATTGCCATGGCAATGTCATTCCTCTATAACAACAAAAAGAGAGAAACATTCTTCAGCTTTGGAAGTTTGTTTTGTCACTGGATAAATAGAGTTAGAGCTTTTTAACCAGGATGACTGCTCCATGTATCAGTAGCAACACATGCAGAATCTCTGAGTTGGGGATGGGATTAAAAAAAAGCAAAAATAAAGTATCACAGGATCTTATTCAGGGCAGGGGAATCCCAAGAGATGTTGAGAGAACAAGCTGCAGCATGTGGAAGAGCAAAATGGTTAAAAGAAAACATGAAGATTAAAACATATACTCAGCAAACTGGCCAAACATGTATCAGAAAAAGGATGTGCAAGAGCCAACGAGTTTCTATGAAAAACTGGCAAGGTAAGTATCTTCTCAAAACAGCTTATAACTTTACTTTTATACCTTGCCTGAAAAATAAATCCAAAGAATAGCATTAGGTCAAAGCATTAAAGACCTGAATAAAGAATTACCCAGCAATAAGTCATCACTTTAAATTTATTTGCTTAAGATTTGAAACAATCCCCAAGATAAAAAAAGCTCGATTTCTTTTTAAAAAAAAAGTACTCTGATTTTAAAATTCTTGCAAGTCGTCTTAAAAAGGATGGCTAATTCAAGAAGCTATTAAAAGTCTCATTCTCCTTAGCTGAATATAAATTTGTAAAGCATATATATGAACAAGATTTGAGACAAAGATGCCTACACTGCCTAATGAGTAGGTAAAATTTAGAAGACTATCAATCCTCTCATTTCAGGCTACTTGACATTTCTAAACCTTATACTGTCTTGGTATTTAATCACCAAACAATGATCACGTAGAAAGCATAAGAGAGGCATTTCTTTTGTTCTGCAGGCAGCACACGTTATAAAAGCATCTTCACCAGGAAGAAAACTGTTACTGAACAGATATATCTCATATTTCATTCTCCATGCTGAGGATTGGGTTCAATCCAATTTCCTCAGAAATAGACTTCTATAACTCAGACCTCGCCACTTGAAATTTTCTTCCCAAATACTTGATAAGCAGAGACTGTATTTCTCCAGCTGCACTGTCCATGCGGAGAGCAGCTGTTCCAGGATGGCAGCTGCTGCGGAAGGCAAGCCAGTCAGAAGTAAAACCTGAGTCAATTCAAGGTCTTATACATTAGTATCAGGATTTAAGTATGATTCTGAAATAAATGGATCCATCCAAGCTTGAAAACTGTTAACAGGACATGCCTGAGTCAGCACTCGTACTTATGAAGCATCTTGCTCATGGAATATCTATCAAATACATCCTTCCCACAGTAACTGCATTAAAACCTGGATTAAGCAAGTAGCATTAGCCCAATTTAGTGGAGACTGAGTGGCTGAATGCCCATTCAACAGGGCAGCTTTGGACTGAAATCCACCATGTCTCCTTGCCACTACAGCAATCTCTGTGCCAGGTTACAGGAGAGCTGACATAGTCCTAAATATCACAATCTCTCATCTCTGATCTGAGGGCCTGAACTGATGGTTATTATCGTTTCAAGTAGTTCTGGTCAACAGGTAAGACTAAAAGCGAACGTCTTCCCCCCCCTGCCCCCAGACCCTAAAGGGTTACATCTCACTCTTGAGCCACTAAAAAATTGCTACTACTGAAGGCCTCTCAACCCAGAAGAAACAGTAATCTGTTCTAGAGGAGGGTATTTTTGTTTTCACCTCTACACGTTTATCAACACAAACTAACACCTACAAGCTTACATTAGAACTACTGTTGGACTATATGGTTGGACTTGATGACCTTTGAGGTCTATTCCAACCATAATGATTCTATGATTCTATACTGTTGAAAAACAAATCAGCCAGAAGTTCAACAGCTACAGCTATCCCGAGTCATTACAGCAGGTCACAATCAGCTGACAGCTGCAGGTTTGTTTTTTGGTTTTGGGTTGTGGTTTGGTTGGGTTTTTTTTAAAACAAATTAAGAAAAAAGCATTTCGGTTGCACAGTTACACTGGGCACTGTGCTTTGTACACAGGTTTGTAGCGATAAACACAGGTACTAAAGTTACTGTCTACAAAACATGCCTCGTATTATGGAAACAAAGACTTGGAAACAAGTTTATGAAGCAGCCAAAGGCTAGGTAGGAACAGCCCCGTTACCTGCAGAGTCCTCCGCTTGTTATCTTCTGTGTGTATCCACGCTCGCAAAGTCAATTCTGTTATGAATATCTGAGCTGCCTTGGCAAACAACACGGGAGCTTCTGCACTAATCATCTGCAATTAAATTTACAAATTAAAAAAATTTTTTTTGAAGTTTACCATTAGTACTCTAATACTGTAAAGTGGTAGTCAGAGAAACTTTATCATGTTAGTCAAATCTGAATGGTTGCATTGTTTAACAGTGAAGTTGGGGGAATTTCCACATCAGACTGTTTATGGCTCTGACAGTCCAAAGAGTTACCAGCCTGAAGTTAAACACAGTGTTAAGAGTATTCAGCATCTAAAATTTGTCTCAAAAGTCTGTTTCCTCCATGACTAGTCAGATGTCAACTCCATATTGGGCTGGATTATGGGAGGCCAGTAAATGGCATCAGTGTACATTCACCAAGAGGGTGTCAACCAGCAGGTTCTCCTGACAGTGCTTTGGCACGTGCATAAATTATTTCGAAACCAAAGAGGACAGGTTGAGGGTCCATTTTAAAAACTAGCCCTTACTTTATAGTTGTAACATTTATGTAATTTGAAATGAATGCTGAAATTGCAAAGGAGGTTTGGAGGCCTGAGTAAAGACTTTGCCTCACCAAATTCCTTTTCCTTAAAAAGTAAAAAAGTATCTAACTCAAGTTTTACTCAAATTAAGCAGTTTCATTATTAGCTGGTTTGGCATTAACACTTACTCCCTAGTATAGCCTTCTTATTAAATAATATTCCAGGCAGGGCAGAGACTTCCCCCTCCCCTTTCTAAAATCTCATCTTCCCCTTCATCATCAAAAATTTGGCACTCATTCAGTTCAGACACTGAACTGGGACCTCTGAGGCCTGGGTTCATTCCCCTTCCAGGCTGAATGAATAGCTCCCTTGTATAGGAAGACAACACATACCTTTTTCAGGATCTCATTTAAATGTTAAAGGTTGTCTTAACAGAAGGATGGTGTCATGTCAAGAAAAACAAGAAGAAAGTGCAAATCATTCTCTCTTCTCTTAGGAGTTCAGTGTCTGACAGTTTTTCAGGTTAAAAAAAGGGGAGGACTGGAGCAGCACAAGAGTCAAACCCTGCAGGTGATTTCTTTCTCCTTCCTTTTATATCGGTAAGTTTTCATCAGTCAATTCATGTGTTATCATCATCAGTCACACATCAAGGGTTCAGCTCAAATACCAGTATCAAACCCATGTTATCCACCTAAATTATTACTTATTGTTTTCGTAAACTTGAAACAGCACAGCACACATTTACATGATATCATTCTTCATACTAAGCACTCTATAGCTTTGTGAAAGGAAGAGTTGAGAGAAAGAAGGAGGAAACAATGACAGAAGACAGGTAAGCACTAGAAAAAAACAGGAAACACTCAGAATTACACAGTAGACTGCTATTTACCAGAAGAAAGCAAAACTGCAAAAGTCTCCAGCAGAAGATCCCAAATGATTTTGCTTTCCAGCTCAGTTTAATTATACAAGACCAGCAAATATTGCATTCAAGGTAACTGTTAAAATGTGCTTTAAAAATAGTAATACTAAATAACGATAACAAGAAGTAAATAATTGCAACGAATTACAGCTACAATATCCACCAAAAGGATCATAAATACTTAAGAAAAAAAATCCACGAGCGTACCTTCACATCTTCATCTAGTTTCATTATCTTCTTGATACGAGCCAGAGGGAGCTCTTGAACTCTGAAGTCTTTCTGCAGAGAAATTCACATTTGAGACTCTTTAGTGATACTTAACTGAAAACAAAGGTAAGATAACAAATGTTAAAACAAGTCTGTATCGTCTAGAACTAAATTGGTTAAAATTAGACTTATAAAAATAACTTCTTTTCTTTGAGGTATGGTAGCTTCTCCTCAGGCTCAAGAATTCTTATCTGCTTTTCTGTATTTTATACTGATATAATTCTACTTAAATCTTCTGTCAAGACACTTCTATCTACTATTTCACCTCAAAGTTTAAGTCATTCTGCAGAACCGAATGTTTCTAATGTTACACATTTCTGCACCTATTTATCTCTGAAGCAACTAATTCAATTAGGTGTCTCGGGATCCAGAAACCATTGGAATTTACAAAAAGTTACAAGAGAAAACGAAGGCAAACAAGAGCTACGTGGGGCCACAGGACGAAATCTTTATTTGTACTTCCCTGTTGCCCAATACCAGTTTTGATGTTAAAAACCTCACAAGAATCTTGTTCAAAAAAGTCTCTTCTATTCATGTTTTTAGATGGATTTCTCACTATTTTCCAGCAAAGAGCACTGACTCAAAATGGTGTGATGATGGTTTGGGAGACAGCGAGCGCTGTCGTTGTACTGAATCATCCTGGTCTGCTCGGCTGTTAGCTTGTACCCAACGTGAGCACCAGCAGAGACACCACGAAGCGAACATGGGCGCGAGAGGAGGCACTGACACGTCCCTTGGAGAGATCCTCTCTGCAGACAGCTCCTGGGGTTCAGGAAACTGAGGAGCTTCTCTACAAACAGTGCTCTTCCTTCTCTGAAGATGTAAAGAGGAATTAGCAATAAATAAATAAATAAAAATCCACAGTGCGTTGCTACCAGGAGCCTCTTAAAAAGGGAGAAAGGCTGAGGCTATGTACCATTGCATCAGGAATGCAGAATCCCTACTCTCAAAGGGCTTCTAAAAAAATGTCTTCCCTTCTTAACAAAAATGTCATAGAAAATAAAAGGAAAGTCATTTCTCTAGGGAAGAAAGCATTGCAAGACATGTTAGTGAAACAAAAGAGGAAAAAAATGCTGAAAATGCTGTTTTCTATTGAAACAAAATATGGAGGTTGTGCATGGTCCAGCCAGCACTCCAGCAGGGGCCATTTCATTTTATTTATATATTTAAAAATTATGTATATTTAAATACATTATTTTCTATGCATATATATTAAAAAAAGCAGTCTGTGCTCTCATTCTGGAGAGAAATGTGAACGTGGTGTTCCTGGTCCTCCTAGTAATGTGCTGCAAATCAGAACTAATTTGCGGGGGGGGGGGGGATGTGGGTCCTGTCACGGAGGGCG